TGCAAACAGACAGGCTGTTCTACATTTCATGTACACACTTACGATCACCCCAGTGAGTAACTTTATACTTCTCGAGTTATCGTGCAAACAGACAGACAGACAGACAATAAAGAATTTGTTAGGAGAAAATGCTTTGCCATATCTGAACTCATCCTACGTTATCCACTAAGTAGCTGCAAATGTTTTTCACAGCAGTGGTGGGCAAATATTGTACTTCAGCACATTGCAGAGTCCAGTCTCACACAGGCATCTTCTGCTGCCTCGAGCCTTGCCTTCAGACTTCGGATCTGTTCCTTAAGGGAAATATTCTGGCTCTTTGCCTCAAAAAAAATTTGTTCCCTCAAAATTGGACAGTCTTCTTTACAATACTTTTCGTACAGACAAGAGTGTTCTTCGAGAAATGTGCAGTTCTCATCATCACAGCATGTTGGGGTTTTCCTCTTGATGATGCAGATGCCAATTTCTGTTTTAGGCTTCGGCCTGGTTTCCCCCATTTTGATGTTGGTGCGAGTGTGACGAGCCCCCTGTAAGAGAAAGGATGATTTAATGCTTATTAGTACTTATTTCAGTGTAATAAATTGAGGTACGCCAATACTGAAAAGGTAGATCAAGAAAACATAACCTAGCCTGGACATGTCAACAACCTGAGTATTATCGTATCTCCATCCCATGAGATCACAAAAACCCTCACTAAATAGGCAGAGTTCCTTCTTTAGAACACTCGCTCTTACCTGCCAACGCTGGTTACCCATTTTAAATGGTTTATTCCAGCATAATCTTCATTTGCAAATAGCAGCCGTTGTGCTGCGGCGACGCTTCGACGTCTTTGTCGTTGTTGACGTTGACGTGTGTGCGTCTGTGTGTGGAGGGAACTAGTTTTTCATACCGCTAGCCTCGCACGGGCGATCCCGGGCCGTGGCGGCTCCAGGCGATACCAAAGCTCTCTGATTGGCTGCCGCTCGGTCGCTCTGCGCACCTCTCACACGAGGGCCACTAACCATGCCCAGGCAACAGTCAACAACGTCAGCTTGGCTGAAGCCGCCCTCCTACCTCTGTCAGAAGGACAGAACGCTACGAGTGTACCGGCGTAT